TTTATTAAGTGACATATGATATATAAGTGTATATTTATATATATACACACACACAAACACACACACACTTACACACACACACACACACACACACACACACACACACACACACATACATACATACATACATACATACATGCATACATACATACATACATACATACATACACACACACACATACACACACATACACACACACTTAAAAAGGATTATTTTCGTGCTCTAAATCAAAATTTTCCTGCGTATACAATCAATAAATAACTTAACTGAGTATCCATTATGGAAAGTTTCACTGCTAACGGCCTTTGCTACCCTTTACGCCCATCCACTTCATCCCAGGATGCCATCACCGGACAAGGACACAAAAGAATCAGGTAAGTGAATTTTTACTTATTAGATAGCCCTCCTTCCTTACTGAGGAGTTCCGGGGAGGGCTATTAATAATTCCTTTACTCCGTCTAAGGGTAGGAACGAAACGGAGTTTTTATTTTTATTTTGTTTTCATTTTTATTCTATTACCTAATAGATTTGCTCCTTGTCATTAGGTATTTGTTTTATGTAACGCGAAAAGAAAAAAGGTGGAACAACATAAACGCCGACACGCCGAAGAACAACACGAAGAAAAAAAAGAAGAACGAGTAAAAAGGAACTACAAGAAAAGAACAAGTCCGAAAGCGAGGGCAGCGTAGTTTCGAAAATGCTGAGCTGCGCATCATCGTCAGCTTCTGCAAATTGGCTGCGGACCTATCTGCTTCAGGGCTCCTTCAAATATGGCGTACTTCCAAAGCAGAGATTTGCAAGCTCGAGGGAGGGGTCCCATCCGCCTTCTTGTGACGTCACAAAAAGGGACCGCTTCCTCGCCCCGCCTCCTCAGTGGTTAAGAGTGCCCTCCGGAGCCCTGCCAGATTTCGACTGCCCTCCGGAGCTACGGCTCTAGGTATCTTTCTTCTTCCTTCTCTGTCTTGCTTATGAAGGTTCTCATACTCCTATATCTGCGCCTAATGGATGACAGGTTTGCCATTTTGTGTAATCCCTTCGGGATCCCCTGGGGATTTCCAGGAAATCACGTCTCATTTTCAGAGTGAGTTATCTTGGCGAGAAGTTAATGAAAACGCTGCAAAGTTGTACTATGGATATACGACGGCACTGTTAAACATGTTTGTAGTAGGAATAAGTAAAATCTCGGGATATTGAAATCTTCGATGAACCACTGCATGCGAGCCAGGCATTAGAAAAGTTCACAACCTTCAGATTCTACTTCTGTCGAAAAGGCGCTTAGCAGCGCCATGGTATATCCTCTGTACAATTTTACAGCGCTTTCATTGACTTCTTGCCAAGATAAATCACTTTGAATAGGCTGTGATAAGAGTTAGTTGCCGGATGAACCGCAGCTGGGGCAACACGTACTCGGCATGTGCTTTGTTTCGAGCGTCGTGACCGCCACCAGGGGGACCGCTAGGAGCCGACAAGCATTGTTAGGAATTCCAGCGAGTCATGAAATTACAAAGCGGTCAGCGCAAACTGACTCTATCGTAAAAAAACAACATCCTCAGCGCGGTTGTGTAGTGGGAAGATTGACTTTAACCGCTGCCAATGCGCCAGCCCTATGTCCTTCGAACATCTCATACGCTGGAAATTAGGATGGTTTTGAGGCTGTTTGTAAACACAGATATTGGTGAGCAGCCATTGAAGTTAAGTTCGGTACTTCCCGTAGGTAGCCCTTTACTTAATTTATTTATTCAATTATTCAATACGCACAAAGCGTGCCATAATTAGAACAAAGAGCAAAAAACGTAGAGCATGAACAGTAAAAAATAACAAAACATCCCCAAAAACTCAAGTCCAGCTCCGTGAGTGGAAGGAGGTTAAGCCTGTAGACCGTGTATGAATATCAGTGCAGATGCTCGGTGGAGTCTGTCCCATGTCCCCTGCTTGCAGCAAAAGTGCTCTTACAAGGGAAGTTCACTTAGTCGAAGTGGCGATTCGGAAGGAGATCTACACCAATGGATAGAGCTTAAAAAGCTGATCTCAGATATACCTTTTATATCTGCGATGCATTGTTTTAAAAAAAGTTAGGAGCTTTTCTAAAGCCAAATTTTCGTGCATTTTGAGTCGCAAAAAAAGATAATCTCCATGCAAAAGTGTGCAAGCTTAAGCAAACCACCTGTGGCCGTATTCATCAACGAACCCCGAGGGTTAAACTAACCCTGGAGGGTTAGTTTAACCCTGGAAAGCGTTTAACCCGTATTCATGAAACACAGGGTAGGCTTAACCCTGAGGGTTAAATCTAACCTTGAAGGTTAATTTTACCCCGAAAGCGACTAACCCGTATTCATCAACGAACCGTGAGGGTTAGACTAACCCTGGAGGGTTAAACTTACGTGATTCATCAGGGTTAATTTAACCCTAGCTCAGAGCAAGGTTAACTCTACCCTAGCACTTCATACAAACATTTACTCGCATGTAGTTTTATAGAAAACGATTAACGAGTGTTGTAGTACTTAGTATTAGTTGTTATAGTATCTAGTCTCAACTTCGTTTCGTGTTCAAATTCGAAGTACATGAAACACTGAATTCGCGAGAAAAAAATCCTAGCTTGGTGACAAATGAATGCAACGAGGAAAAATGGTTGCGCATTCCACTCTGACAAGTGTCAAAACTGAAGAACCCCTTTATGATAACACGCACTGACCCCTAAAAGAGTAGCACAAGCCCGGTATAAAACGAACTACGCAAAAGAACTTACACGGCACAATTTCACACATGAAAATAAACCAACGCTGTAAGAGTGGATGCTGCACAAATATGCTAGAGATGTATTATAAAAACTAGTGCTAGAAGCTTATTCGTTGATTATACTACTATAACTGTGAAAGAATAGAAGTATAAAGTGAATTTAGCGTACTTAGGCATTCTGTGATGTGAGTTCGCACAGCGCACGCATAACTAACGCCTTAACCCTCCAGGGTTAGTTTAACCTTCAGGGTTCATTGGCCGTATTCATCAACCATAGGGTTCGTTGATGATTACGGCCACAGGTTCGTTGATCGATACGGGTAGATCGCGTTCCGTGGTAAACCCTAGCCTATGGTTGATGAATACGGCCAATGAACCCTGAGGGTTAAACTAACCCTGGAGGGTAAGCTTAACCCTCAGGGTTCGTTGATGAATACGGCCACTGTAAGCATTGTAGGTCTAATTCGAGTTCAACCGAACGCAACGCTTTCGAGTGTTTCTCGACCATGTTGTTCATCCACATTCGTCATTTCATTCCTAGATCACATTTCCATTATATATACAAAAAAAGTCCTATAACCTCCATCTAGAAAAACTCGTCGCGTCGGAAACTTTTTGGAGATTACCAGTGGATAAAAGGATAAAACGCGTAAAACGATGTTCTCAAATATATCTTCAATATCTGCGACGTGTTCTTCCAGATGGAGGTTATGGGCTTTTTTTTGTATACCTAATGGAAGTGTGATCTAGGAAGGAAATGGCGACCTTTGGATAAACAACATGGTCGGAACACACTCGAAACCGTTCGGATGAACTTGAATTTGACCTGCTTACTAGGTGGTTTGCTCAAGCTTGCAAACTTTTGCGTAGAAATTATCATGATTTTGCGACTCAAAATGCACGAAAATTTGACTTTAGAAAAGCTCATAACTTTTTTCAGGACAATGCATCGCAGATATGTAAGGTAAATCTAAAATCAGCGTTTTAAGCTCTATCCACCGGTATAGATCACTTTTCAAATCGCCACTTCGACTAAGTGAACTTCCCTTGTTAGAGTATTCAACCTAAGCAATTGTAATGCGGGGAATAGATGTAATAAGAAAAATTTGCCCGACTGAGTTCGGGGGAGAGAGCAGAAACTCCGAGGCAAAAGATTGTGATGCAAAAAAGATGTCAGGTCAGACAAGCTATTCCCAAATAACAACGAGAATGAGTGAACCGGACCCGAACCACGTGTGGATAAAGTAAAAATCGGAACAGTGCGTGACGTGAAGGTCTACCGATCACAAGTTTGGTACTTGAGAAAGCTATCACTGGAAGACCTTCTGCGCGATGAGTGACAGACTGACAGAGTTGGTCGGTTATACTGAGGTAAATGCTCTCGTTGCGTGCTGAATAGAGATTGAGTTATGGTCCCTTTTCCTAAGTACCTTTTGCACAAAAGTAGAATCATCGCTAGAGCAAGAAAACTTTTGTTACAGGTCTAGCTAGTCAACTTGACATACAGCTTTCTCATAGCTGCTAGCAATAAAAGAATGGCAAAAGCCGTGCTTTTCAGTCTAATTTTTGTTGCTCCTTGAGACTGGGAGTGCTCAAATAATGCTCAGAACACAAGAATTTTGGATTGACATAATATGGGTAAGAGGAATGAAGTGGAATTCGGTCATCGTACTTATGAGATGTTTAAAAACATAAAAATTACAGTATTTGCACCTGTCAAATTAGAAAATCTCTATTCAAGAGACTCTGTATGCCGATTTCTTATGCCTTGATTATTTAAAAAATATCGAATATTTATTGGAAGTGCTTCATACAGACAGCGAACATGCATTTGGCTCATTGCATATAAATCAGTACATTGCTAATTAAACTCATTCATATATGTCTGGGCAATAATTGTCGGTATCGCACGTATTCATCTGGCAAATGTAGCGCTTCAACACGGTTCTGCGGTGCACATTCTGCTAGAAAAGCTGAAATCGTTTGATACTTAGTGTTGTCCGTGTTACAGCATAATTCCTTATCGGAAGGTGCACTTAAGACAGACCTCGAAACTAGTAGATGTTTGAGCAGTCAGGACACAGTTTGCATCTCCAGTCACATCAGGGAAGTTTTTGTTCCATCTTGTGTAAAGGGAGCCTTCCAATTAAAAATCATGCTTTCAATATCAATCAAGATATCGAAATCAATGCAAGGTGGGAGGATGTACCGGAATCCTTTCTGGGCTTGATCCCTTAGGCTGTTCACAGAAGTAGCCACCATTCGTTTTGTCGTAAGAGAGACCAATATGGTAATTGTAAGGTGGTTCCATCCTGTAGTCGTTTCTGAACATTGCTGAAATAAAAATTCTTGGTTTTGCCTAAAAATAGACTGGTAGTCCGAATTTACATGCAATGAAGGTATGCTATGCTTTGCATGGTCAAGAACAGAGGCAAGATGACCCGATTCATGGCCGACTCTAATGCACGATTTCTTTGCAAGGTTTCAGTTCGAATCAATTCCACCTGTAAGTTTTGAACAAAGTGATTTAGACTACTCATTGCTTGAAGATCCCAAGTTTTGCAGATAGCTCACCAATTTTCAAGCACGATCCATATTTTACAGAGTCGAGAGAATACTGCAACCATTGCTTCCTACAGAAGCAGTTGACTAAAATATTAGCATCATTAGCAGTCTGACTTTACTTGTGGTGCTTCTCAGAAATCAAGATTACTTTGACAAAGTGTGTGCTGAATTTCTCCCGCTAAATTGGCATTTCAGTGGCTATCTGTAAATGAAATAGAGCACTTGCAGAAGAATATAACAACAATCATAAAATATTTTTACCTTGCGAAGTTCCAGAAGAGCACTGGTCTGCCTCCCTGGTCGAAGGCGACAACGATAATGTCTTTTCCACTAATCTTGATCTGGTCCGCTAGCTGTTTAGCGTCTCCAAAGTAGAGCTCCCTAGAATGCAAGATTGAGCAAGGAGAACAGAAAAATAACATCATCAGTCGTCAGCGATACGAATTTTTCTAAATATTGCGGCATTAAAAATTAGTTAGTACCTTGTAGACATTAGCGTAGATGATGATGGCCTGCTTGACATTCTCCCTCACTCCTGCCGGTCGACCCTCAGCGAAGAGTTCCTCAGCCTTCATAAGAGCACTGAAAGATTGGTTATGGAGTCGTTTGAACTCTTTGTGAGTCTTAATTACCTGTACCATTCCCTCCATGGTCATGCCAAGGGAATTGTCAATTGCAAACACGACATCAAGCCATAGCTTTGAAGGTGTGCATGGGCATTCTCTCTCGTAATGAGTATTTTCTTCTGCTCCAACAGCAATCAGCAGTCCTAAACCAGGAAGTTCAAAATGTGATTTAGCATCATAACAGGTAGCTATCTTATCCATTAGAACGGCCCTATTGGATAAAAGTTTCATAGTTTATCACTGTCCCAAATGACTATCTAAAATGATTTCAAATCAGATTTTAGAAAACTACCCTCTTCGCTGTCATCTAGCTGCAATAGAGAACGAGAGGCAAATGTGGTACTTGCAGAAGTTGAAGTGTAGAGCAGTCGTACTGTACCTTTTATACCAATACATGTCACTTATGGAAGTGTCTTTTTCAGCGGTATTATGTCATAAAACATCCTGTAACGTGCATAAGATGTCATCACTTGCCCTTCCAAGCCAAAGAATCAGAATATGACATCTTTTGATAAGAGAACTGTCACGATTCAGTAACTTTTTGCAATTTGATATATACACTTACATTTTCGGGTATATATGACGTCAAATAAAAGACGGTACTCAACAGGATGCGGTTTTATGGCCGTACTTCGACTTCTTAGGAAATCGCGTACTGATATTAGAAAAAATAAAGGGGAGGGGAATATGTGTAAATAATTTGAAAGGGACTCTTGATGAAATTCTTGTAAAATCATCTATTTTTTCCGGAAAACTTCACCCTCCCATAAGCTCCACCATAGCTCGCAATGCACCTCACATGAGAGAATGTAGCGCATGTATGCTGATTCGTACAAGAGACTTGTACAAGAGATGCGTGAAGGTTTCTTGCACTTTTTCCATTTCCTTTTTTCCGGGGATGATTCCAAACTTGGGAGCAGTACTCTAAATGGGGGCGAATGAGGGCTTTGTGAAGACGTGTCAGTAGAGCAGGCGGGTTACTCCTTACGGTGCGTAACAGCACAAATAAGGAGGTGTAGGCTTTTCTGACAACAGCATCGATATGTTCAGAAAACTTTAGTTTAGGTCAACAAGAACTCCCAAGTCCCTAGCTGAGCCGCATGACCTTAACGCAAGATCCTCAACCACATAAGTACTTGCACAACCATTCACTATATGCAGTACGCAGCTCTTGTCGAAATTCAGTGTTAAATTCCAAGTCGTTGCCCAATCAGCCAGATTGGAAAGAAACAATTGTAAAGTTGACTGGACCTCAATTCGATCCTCTGCATCGTATATTCCGTAAATCTTCATATCATCTGCATACATTTGCACTTTAACCTTCCGAGAAGTATGGAGTAAGGACAAGGCGGCGTGGAACATATGAGTGGCGGTAGGACGGTCTAGACCGCAGGTTCCACTGACTTAGCAGAACAACTGTTTAAATATAAATGGTTTATCACAAAATATGGCAAACCAAGAGAAGCTGATATACAAATACAGAGAATAAGATTAGCACAGAAGAGCTAATACAGAACAGCGAATAGGTGACTGTCGAGAAACTGTTGAGGAACTGTTGAGGAACTATTGAGGAACTATTGAGGAACGAACTAGACATCTTAGAACCGAAACACGAGATATGGTGATTCGTATATCCCATAGGTTGGGTTCAAGGCTAATAGTGTGACAAAAAACCTAGGCCGGGCTCCTAAAGGCTACACGTCCCCCCTTATCGTAAGTGGCGTCCCGACACTTAACAACTGTTAACAACTATCAAACTTAACAAAACCTAACCTAACTTAACCTAACCTAATTAAACTTAACCTAACCTGACTAAACTTAACTACAACTACTAACACTTAACAACTACGACTATTAACACTTAACAACTTGATAACAACATCGATCTAACTTGATTTCTTGTGGTCGTTGTCCAAACGGTCCTTGCCCATGTGATCCTTGTCCATGCGTCCTTGTCCATGCGATCCTTGTCCATGCGATCCTTGTCCATACGATCCTTGTCTAAGCGATCCTTGTCCATGCGATCCTTGTCTAAGCGATCCTTGTCCATGCGATCCTTGTCCATGCGGTCCATGTCCATGCGATCCTTGTCCACGCGATCTTCTTCAGATTTCTGACGCCGCAACAAGTGTCCACTCCTTTCTGTTTAGTTCCGTTGTGTCTTTTTTCTTGTATGACTTGTTCGGCAGGAATGTGCTCTGACATAGTCGACCATTTCAAGAAAATCCCAAAATGCGCGAGGGTATCCAGTAATTCTGCGCACTTTTCCATACCGCTTCGCATTGAAACTCTTCGTTTTTTCACAACATTCTTGTTTACTGATGCGTTGAAATCAGTTTCATCTTGCTGTTCCACGCTTATTCGTTTGACATCGACGAATCTATTCCTTGGCTGTTGTTTCTTTTTCAGCTTGTGCATCTTCATAGCTTTCGTCAGTTGCTTCATATCAACCAATGATTCGTCCAAGATTCCGTCTTGATTCTTGGAATAGTGCTTCATCTTTCTAAGCTTTGCGCGCCTTGTTTCTTCTTTTCTTTCTAGGCCTTTCAAAAGTCTCCTTCCTACTTTTGGCTTCGTCTTGTTTCCTCCAAGTAGTCTATCAGTCCGATCTTTCACTACATTCGAGGGATCTCTGACTGAATACCTGAGCAAGTCTCTATTGGTATCACTTCGAATCACTTTGACACCAAAATTGCATAGAACATTTGTCCCCAAGATCAGCTCATTTTCTAACGACCTGGCGACATATACCGGAATCTTCTTGGGTTTGCCAAACAATTCCACAGGCATCTTGATTGCGTCCAAGACCTCTATTATGGCCAGAAGCGTCGCGTATCACAGCATTAGATACTACTCCTAAGATTCTCTCCACATAAGCATCTAGATCAACTCCAGCTTCCTTGGCCCTCGTGAACAGCTTTAATGATGCTATAGATACCTCGGAGCCAGTGTCTATAAGTGCGTTTACTTCCATATTCATCACTTTTGCTGGCACAACTACCTTCTTACCAACAAATTCTTCAATACTCTCCCCGGCACCTGTGGTTGCACATAACCACCTATCAAGAGCAGTGGAGAACGAAGATGCCTTGTGTTCTTCATTTCTTCTTACGTTGTCCTTTGTGACATTCTGCAGTGTGCAGTGTTTCGCTTTATGCCTTGATTTGCCACATTCAAACCAACGATTACTTTTCTCCTTGCCTTTCATGGTCAGTCTTTCCTTTCTTTCACCATGATCAGCCGATTCTGAATCAGACCACTGTTTGTTTGAAGCTTGATTGCCATAAAGCCATTTAGTATGCATATCGCTGCCCTGCTTGATTTCCTTTCTATGCAGGTTTCTCTCTAGCCTCAGCGCTGCTTCTTTTACTTTGTCATAAACGACATCTCGCGGGGTAGTCTCAATCGCTTCAGCCAAGATATAGCTTCCTTCCCAATTAGCTAACTGGGAGTACAGAAGTTCCGCTTTCTTTAGTGCCACCCCATCCCCTCTTTCTTCATTAGGGTAGGCTTGACTGCACGTCCTCTCCAGTACATAGCAGAAATCACTTACTGTCTGATTTCTTTTCATTCTCAGATTCCTCAATGTAGCCAAGGCTTTTACACGAGAAGTGTTGCCTCCTTCAGCTAACCTTTCGCTCATCGCCTGGACTACGCCGTCGAAGGAACCTTCCTTTACACTTTGCGGTAGTGTTTCAAATAGATTCAAGGCTTCCCTTTTCAGAAAACTTTTGAGTTGTACTAGTATTTCATCATCTCAATGCTTCCTTGGGTACTTCAACAGGAATGATTCCAAAAAGTTGCTGAAACTCTCATTTGCTTTACCATGAAAAGGTCTTACTTCTGGTACTGTAGACGCCAACATGAATTCTCTCATGGTAAACTCGAAATTGGAATTTTGTGACGCATCTTGCAATCGGACATTATGCACATCCGTGTCCAACTGTTATCGATTGCTTCTGCCCAACTCTAACCTGCGCCTATGCGAGGAGGTCTTCAGTGCACTATCTTGCGGATTTTGCACTGTCGGCACTTGGCGATCCGATAAAAGTGTGTTACCTTCCTTATTTAGGTTCGCAAATCTTTGATATTTGCGTCAAACTATATGATCAGAGTTGCCTTCTGAAGTGTCTGTTTCCCGATCTGCATCATTGTCAGATGGTGCTGGCTCCATGATAGCCGCAACCTCTGCTCACGTTTCTGAGCTTTAACCTAAGGCACTGAACCTCACTTGACACTTTCTTGACCTTTTCCTCCAAGTCTTTCTCACTGCAGTCTAGCGTTGCACACACGGTTGCAATCAACTGTAGTAAGTGAAGTATTTATCAAGGCAACGCTCCAGCTTCTCTGGTGACATCAATTCAGCCTTTGCAAGGATCTCCAATGTCTCAGAGTCAATCTGCGTTGCTCCTAGGTCACCTCTTGTGCATACAAAACTTTCGATGATTACTCTTAATTTCTGTTCTGCAATTTCGATTTGCTTTTCTAGCTTTGTCAAGAACCCTTTTCTGCGTTTGTCACCTGTGCGAAAAAATGTGCTTAGTTCTTTTTCGCACTCTATGTTTACGAGGTTCAAGGTATCATGTACTTCTTTGTACATCTTTGCCATAAACGGGATTCGCTCTTCTTTCCGTTCACTAACCACCTCATTGTGTCTTGGCTGGGCTCTGTGTTCCTCTTCCTCATTCATCATGCCACTCAAATCTTTCTACAGCAAACAATCTTTTGACTGTAGGATTCGATCAAACGCTACAACTGAGCGACGTAAAACTCCAATACACACGTCAATGCACCGAGTAGTTTTGCCACACTTCCGTAAATTATGGTTCTACGAAGCTACGCACTCGCGGTAGCTCCTGCAGTTCGTATAAGCGGCGTGTACCGCGCTCTATATAGTCAACCCTAATCGACCAATAGATCGATAGGTTATGCAAGGATAAATCCGCCGCCTCAAAAATCAATATGGGTAGTGCCCCAATCTATCGGTCTAAGACGCGATAGTCTTATGCGGGATACAATCGCCGCTTCAAATCGATTTGGAGGTCGTTGACGCTCCACACTTAGTCGATTTTGGAGGTCGTTGACGCTCCAAAATTCAGCTTCTTTTGGAAGGTCTTCGACGCTTCCACAGTTGTCGGTGGTCAGCGGTTCGGCCCCCAAGTGGCGGTAGGACGGTTTGACCACAGGTTCCACTGACTTAG